ACAGTGGGGTGTGCAACCAAGTGCAACGGTGTGGGGTGTGCGGCGTGCAACAGTGTGGAGATGGACCGGGAGGAGAGATGGACCGGGAGGAAAGACCTACCCCGTGAGTGGGTGACGAGAGATAGAGAGAAATAGACATTCTAATCACGCGGTAGAGGGGCAGGTTGGCGCATATGAAGTTAAGTGGAAACACGTTTTCTGCTGCCCGCCATGCCGTATAGATTGCCCAGTACGCGGTAAGGTTTACCAGTTCCGGCACGTTGGGCTCAGGACGGACGGGGTCCAACCTATGCAGCAAGGCAGCGGTCAAATAAAGAGGATATCCCACTTCAGCGGCGAAACTACAGAACACCAGAGAATGAAGCAGGTACTAATAGACCACCACTAATAACCGCTGCTTAGTAACAGGCGGCGGTCTTCAACTGTTGCTGACAGTGTGCTAGCAGTGTTTGACTTTGATTGGTGGGTATGTTTGATTGATGGTAAGATACGTGAGCTCGATCGACGCGTGGTGAGGTAGGTGATGGTGATGTAGGTGATGGTGATGTAGGTGATGGTGAGGTAGGTGGACTTCGTTAGTAAGTATATTGTCATTGGGGGTGTCGCTGGTGGTGGTACCTGAGAACGTCCATAGCGGAAAAATAAATTTCTAGAAGCGGTCGAGCTTTTCAGTGATGACCTTGGGATTACGAATTTCTAGAACCTGTTTGTTCAATGATTGGTAATCGAATGTGCAGTTGTGCTCTTCGGCGTGTAGATGCGGTCGGCAGCATATGGCTCCGCACCGGCATTTGAATCCCAACAGTCCAACGCGCTTATTGCATTGATAGCATCTTGTCTTGTCCGATTGATTCACGGCCGCAGGCTGAGTCGTTGGGTCAGCTGTTCGCTGAGTTACGGCTGCTGGCTGGGTTGACAAACTCGTGTCAGTTGCCGGCCGATTCTGCTCTGTTGGCGCACTTTCTTCCGTCGACTCACCAACAGGGGTTGCAGCAGGGGCGGGGGCGGTAGCAGGCGTAGGAGTTTTCCCGGTCGACGACGCAGCCTCAAGCCTTTGTTTATAACATACGGAACAATACCCGTCTGTGGCCGCTGACCCGTAAAACCCACACCCGCCGGCGCATTCGGGGGCGCTATTCTAAAGCCACAACTAATCAGGGCCCATTAGCTTCTCTTACGTTATGAGGAGTCTGCATTGTACACCACCTTTATCTCAAATTTTTTTTACGGCACCTGCCCCTCTAGCAGGCATGCAGGATGACCAAAAACAGCTGGGAAACGCTAAACTACGACTACTACGGTGGGGTGCTCTGGCCCAATTTGCGCGAACATTTAAAAACACCGCCCAAACTCCACGCCCGGATAAGCCAGGATAAAAGCGCTCAGAGCGCCGACAACGAACACCGGCTATTCGGCCACAGCTGCTTCATCAAACAGCAACGATATGTCGAAAATACCGTCGACTACTTCATAGGTAAGCCTCAGCGAACAGGTGCGCTCGCAAGCACACGCGTGCGCGAATAAAAGTTTTTTTCAGATCCCGCTTCAGTATTCCCCGTCGCCGCTCTCAATGTAAAAGATGGATGTTCAGTTCTGGATATGTGTGCTGTAAGCCAACACACCTCCCAGGACACTCAGGCCATTAAGCGGAACTGATTTTGAGCCACTAGGCTGCTTGGCGGGTCGTTGATAGGCAATACGTTACCCACTCAAGTTCACGCAAGTTCGCTTGCAACACTTCCTGGTAATTCTGTGTATCCCCAGGCGCCTGGTGGTAAATCGTTGTTGATAGCTGGAGAGTTATTCCATCATGAACGGCGGAGTTCTGAAGACTGCGATAGTTTTCTCGTGTGCAATGACTTGTCTCAGGCCCGTTTGCAGCGGTTGCAGCGGAATTTGGCGGCGCATCACGGTAGCGACAAGCGTCAGTACAGAGTTACAATAAGTGATCCTAGCACGAACAGCAGGGTCGTCAGCAAATATGCTCCATATGATTGCGTCTTGTTGGACGCGCCTTGTTCGTCCGACAGGCACCGGATAGCAGTTGATCCGCTGATGAAGGAATGGTCCCTTCAGTCCGTCAAGCGTACAGTCAAGCTACAAAAACAGTTGCTCAAAACCGGACTGGAAGTATTAAAAAGAGGTGGAAGACTTGTGTATTCCACATGCGCCCTTTCAGAGCTGGAGAACGACCTCGTTCTGGAATCTGCCTTTGTCATTGCAGACCCCGTCCCTCACGATACTCTACTCCAACAACTTGAAGAAAAATGCGGCATCGATATTCGCGTCGTTGAATTACGCGACCCGCCGGCTCACGACCCGCCGGCTCACGACCCGCCGACTCACGACCGGCCGACTCACGACCAGCCAACACACGACCAACCGGCTCGTGCCGAAATGACTCACGACGGGACAGCTGATGGGGCTGCCGCTCTACAGAATGAGACTGCACAACAGAATGAACTACCGGTGCTGACACTGAGGAAGACGACATATGGATTTCTCATGTTGCCTTGCGACCAGGGTGGCATTGGGGTGATCTACTTCGCGGCATTGCAGAAACGCGACATTTTCGCATGCAAACGCTAAGTGGTGATTGTAAGGCAAACGTCCTTTTATTGAGCCGGTCGCTCTCGTGTGTTCCTGTACAGGTTATTTCACACTGATGTGGGTTACTTTCACACCCGTCTTGTTTCTGCCTTAATTCTTCAGTCGTACAAGGTGGTCGCGGTCATACAGCGTAGGGTGGTCGCGGTCATACAGCGTAGGGTGGTCTTGGCAGTCTGCCGGGTGGTACAGGGTGGTTGGTAGTCCACCGGTCTCAGGTCTAGGTCTAGGCCTAGGCCTAGGCCGCAAGTTAAAGGTTTTGAGGTGGTGGCACAGGGGCAGCAGAGACGGTGGCTGGTGGAGGGGTGGGGGGTGCCCGAGGTCCGATGAGAACGATGTTTTCTCCTTTCAACATTACTTCCCCTAGAGGTACGGTCTTGTCGAACTCTTGTGTTTCCTTATTAAAGTGTAACTCCTCTGCTCCCTCAAGAACCAAGTTCATGTACTCATCGAATCCCTGCACAAATTAGTTTCTAAACCCCCTACACACCGGCGGGGAGGACTAAATCCCTCTCCCTGTGCGTCTCCCTCGCTGTGCGTCTCCCTCGCTGTGCGTCTCCCTCGCTGTGCGTCTCCCTCTTGTCTTACTCGAAGTGTCCCAGCAATTCGGGTGTTATTCTTGTCTAACAACCATATCTCTACAGGTTCCTTGGCAGTGAAGTACCTGAATACTTGGTTCTGCAATAGTACCATTGGTAGGTACATGGTGGTCGAAGAGGTGATAGGTACTTGGATGGGTGACGAAAGTGGACGGGTGACTTACGATAGGAAGAGTAATTATCTTCTGAAGTTTCCGGTTTGATATAGTGGCCATGTTATCGGATATTAATTAACGGGTGGGTGGGTGGGTGTGTAATTGGGGTGGGTAAACTTGGACTATTTTTATCATTATATTTCAGCGACATATTTGGTGATATAGATATACCATAAAGCGATCACATGATCTTGTAGCTATAAAAAAATATGAGGCGGACTCTTAAAAGATTAATAACATCAGAGAGTAGCGTCAACGTCAAAACAGCCACAGCCGTAGCCTCAGTGGAGACTGCCGACAGTAACAGAGGACCGCCTCCAATCGGATTTGTCGACGCACTCTCTGGTGCAACCATTCCTGTTGGACTCTCTGATGAAGGCAAAACCCAAGGACCTGGACTGGAGCTTGCCTCCCTTGTTTTCACTCTGGATTTAATTCGAAATAAGCAAACACCCGACTACAGTAATCATCACACCTACCTGTCATATATTTATCATACACCCATCCACCAACACACACCTACCTACCTACCTGCCAATACACCCCCCCCCCCCCCGGGTCGTAATATATTCTGGGTCAGTCTCATTATTATTGATTGGTCTATGTTCTCGTGTGACCAAGGATGATTTAGACCATCCTCAGCGGAGTCGCAGCGTTCTGTTTGTCTTCTTACGACATCTTATGCCGGTGTATGCCCGGCTTAGTCAGTTCATGAGTCGAGAGGAGGTGCCGTATTATAGCGAGACATTACGTGGTTATGTAGGATGTCTTTGTCGCGCGAAAGGGGCATGTGTATATCGCATCCCGTATAAGGATGGGTATATATACAAATCGATCCTTAATGAGTCGAGTACTGAAGTGGTGCTACAAATCGACGGTCGTCCATGCGCATTTTCAAACTGTCTCATAAAGCTTAGAGGGTACCAAAGGTGCAGCAATGAATGTGGACATGAATGCAATGAGAAAGAAACCCTTGATTGGAAGGGGTATCTTCCAATGAGCAGACCGTCAAAGTTGTCTTCAGTGAACCAGCGATTTACGGAAACTATGTCTAATGTTTATCAGCAGACGTTTCCTTGGCTACAAACAGGGAAGCTACCACCCGAGAATTGGGATCTTATTGCTCGCATGGTTTCAACTATGCATGTAGGAGAGCGAGCAGAGTTCGTCTACTGCGCTGTCCAATACGGATCGGAAACTACCGGTGTAGAAAACTGTAACTCGTCTAATCAAAGTCTTCGACCCGGCCGTTGTATGGTATATGAGGTAGAGTTATTGAGTCAGCGAATCCTTATAACGACGGGATCAAACTTATTTACGTCGGAATTGGCGCTGAATCGGTTTTATGAAAACTCTTTGTCTAGCCACTGTGTTCCACAGTTTCCATTTTACTCCGTCGAATACACGCCGTTGCAGGATCCTCGCGAGGCCTTTGAGGTGTGCGGAAGGCGTTGCCGCGTAAACTTGATGGAACAACGGGTCGTGGTCAAGCTGCGTCCCACCACGGACCGTGAGGGAACTACGAATGTGGTTGCCAAGACGGCGCTCGTGAAGGACCTGCGACCACAGGTGGCTTGGGCGATCCATGTGACACCGCCGACTGTAGAGGCTATTTTGAGTGTTTGGAATGACGCGCGCAAACGACATCAGTACCTGCTCGTGTGGGACTACGAGGAATCGAACCCAGGAGTATTGCAACCCGGGAACTCCTTCGAACGGGGCCCGAACCCCACAGCTTTTGGCAACACGCCCTTTGGCCCCACACCCTTTGGCGCACTCGACCAAAACGGGCTACTCTCGGGCACAAGCACACCCGGCGGCTGGGGGGTGTGCTCACCTAATTGGTCAGCTGAAAAGGCACTCCGCAAAATGCTTCGACAGGCCATCGAGTGCACAAAAATGGAAGTCGCCATTGCCGCTCAGATCCCGCGCTCCCGCGAACGACCACAGGACGCTTATGCACAGCGCCTCTTTCGCGCCCTCTTGGACACGCTTGCACACGGTACTGTCCCGCGCAAGGAGGATGCGAAAGTGCCCGCGGGTTCCGACGATGGCAAATCCATGAAAAGTAGTCGGTCTACGGAGTTCGTGGTCAACTTCTACAACCACCGACAACTCTACACCTACCAAGACACCTACCAGG